ACAGGCTTTGGGGATGGATCCTTCTCTCCTTTCTTTCCTCAGAGGCAACAGTTACAGTTTATTAATACAGAGGGAACCTGCCAGCTTTATTATGTACTCACAAATAGGATGACATCACAACACTAGATGTTAGGGTGTTATATCGTCTACAGCGGTGTCAGAGAGCTTAGAAGCACACATCAGACCTTTGCGGGATGATGAGGTGAGCTGACGAAAGAGTGATGACATCGGAAGAATAAGCATAATGTGAACACATCCTAAATAAAGACAAGACCTTCATTTTTGACATTGTGTAAAGAGAGTCACTAAACTACCATACGCCCGTACCCCATGTACCACAATTCCTATATTTATCAAGTGTTCACGTGATGTTTTCCAGGGGTCCTATTCCACTCCTCGGAGACTTGTGAGGTATTCTTGATAGAGTTACCACAGGACCATACCACATGCAGAACATGTGGTGAATTACCACAGAACATGTGCTACATTCCTGTGGTAGATGCCCCAAAATTCCACACAAGCCTCTGAGTAGCACAGAAATACCTGAGGGAAATGTCACAGGAACACAAAAAAGTACCAGATGAAGTTACCTAAAACACAAAGCAGAACATATGACATTTTACCACTGGGGATGTTTTGTTTTGGTCTCCACACAAACAATATTTATCTCTTTAAATGCCATGCTATGTTATTTGGTGTTATTTACTGAAAGCATGCAGTGGGTTTTATCACAGCTTGTTTGCAGGGTTAGGGATAATTATTTTCTTTTTAACATTGCACGCACGTTTAATGTATCATGAAACGTCAAACAACAAAGGTTGTGGGGTGATCTTCATCTGCTGTCTTAATTAAATAGGTCTCTAATTTCCCAATAGATATATCAGTTGGCTCAAAGTAACTTGACAAAAACAGCATTTAAAAGTTAGGTGTATGGTTACTGGGGATTAAGGGATCAAGGCTGGATTCTTAAACTTGAAACTGCATAAATACCAGTGACCAGAGAGCTGTTTGTGACTGATAAAATGCTGGGATTAACTTTATCAAAGACCTTCTGGAGGAGACTCCTCTGGGACAATATTTAGGGGACCCGGTGATGCTCTTCATGTGACCAACGCCTCCTTAAAAACACGACAGGAACATAGGTTTTGAGACAATTCTAAACAGCCTCAAAACAGCCTCAAAACAGCCTCAAAACAGCCTCAAAACAGCAGCAGATTGGGAACCGGCTGCTCACAAGCTTTTGATGAAGGATAAAAGAATCTGCATGTTTCTCCTGGGAGGATTCTGTGCGGCAGAGTGCTGATAGCAGAGCTGATTACACTGAACAGTGTTAAGACAACATGTTAGATAGGAGCTCAGCGACTGCTGCTCTTGCATCTTCTCTGCATATATCTCTCATTAGAGCAGGTCTTCCATAGGGTGCTGGAATATTTGCACTCTGTTGATGGTCTCTGATGTTCGATTTCTATAGGGGTTTATGTTCCCCGAGTAAACAGAAGGCTGTGAAGCTGCATTTCTTTTTCTCGTTTAAATTGTTCAACAGATTCAGTGAACTGTGCCATCTCTGCAAGCTTTGAGAATATTCACAATGTTTTTTTTGAGAGCTATGATTTCAGTTCTCTGAAAAGTTGTGAGGCGTTACTTTTGGTTTTTAGAAAGTATAACCTCGCTGTAGCCAGGTCTCACCCGGCTTAGAAATAATGCTACTGCCTGAGTTTGAACTTTAACTGAGCTAGCTTGAAATGAGATGCCAGCCTCCATCCTGCATGTTTTCATTAATGCTATGTCAGGTAACACATCTTTGAGAGGATACCGGAACGTTTTCAGTCTTGCTTCTTTCCTCCCATCCCTCAGCGCCACTGTGCTCTTACCAGAGAAAAAAATGACTTGGAGATGATGGAATGAAGTGGTACAGAGGAGGAAGAAAACGGGGAGGTCATTTGGGATTTAGATGTTTAATTCTAAAAACGTAGTCCTCTGTCCTGTGTGAATTGATGCCCATTTCAACCAAATAGTAAAATAGATCTCAGTAAGGAGCTATCATCCTGCATGCAGATAATTGATAACCTTGTGCTACGTCCTCACATTTCCCCCCAATTTGTCTCACATTTTACTTCTAAGGCTCTGCAAACCCATGTTAAACCCACACAGGGGCTTTTAATTACTCTGGCTGACTAGACCTCTTCTGAGGATGAGCATGCACAGACACTGCATCTCTCTGACTCATTCTTTGCTGCACACACAATGTAAGGTGGGACAAATGACATCTTTATCACGAGCCTTTTCCACGGAAGACATTCTGACAGGTGTAAATTAATAAAAATGAAAGATGGCGGCGTTCTGTTTGGTTTCAGGGTCCTGCTTTTGCGAATAGTGGCTCCCTGGCACCATGTCCCGGCTTACTGGGACACCTGAATAGAACCGAGCCCTCGTTAATGTTATCATGATCACCTGTGCTTTTCCAACTATGACATATTGAAAACATCTGCTGTGAAAGAAAGCCTGCAATAACTGCCCCCTTTGAACCTGAGCAGCGGTGTAATCAGCCGGAATTGGAAACACCTGTGTGGGTGTGTATGACCTTCAAAGGGTAAACAGCGTGGCACTGTTAATATCGAGGAGACTGACATTTTGTCTCATTAAAATATGCCTCTCCCAGTATGAGGATTACCTTTTTCTGAGTTCAAACAAACTGCTAATACCCTGCTCCTGTATCCCTGTAGGGGGACCAGTGGACCGTGAGCCGCTTCTCCCTGTGTGTGAGCTTTGATTGTCTGGTGTATGTTTAAAGAATTCCCATCACCCGGACAGGGAAATATGATAATTGACATGCCACTAACTGGCAGTTCCTAATTGCAGTGGGTACACGTAAGGCACAATATGAAACAAAAATGGAGTTATACATTTTAAATCAGCAAGATTGAGTGAATCTAAACATTTTTGGCCCAAACCACTGCACTTTCTGGGGAACACTGATTGTTAATGTGAAACACCTGCGTGACTGTCTTTGTTCTCATGCTGCAGACACTGCCCTTAAAAACAATTTACTCCACTGCCAGTGCATTCACATATAGTATATTACACAAGGCTGACAGACCACTATATTGCTATATACAGGCTCTATATTACAGCAGTCACGGCTCACTATCTTGATATCCTGCAGCATTATCAATTAATAATGCAATATCTTTATGGAGATTGTTGTTATAGGAGCACAAAACCTTTTTTAAGCAGAGTTGCTCTGAAGGGCAGTAATTATCTCGCAAGGGTACTGTCGAGGAAAGAAAACTAATTAGAAAGAAATTAATTGAGGCAGAATATTTAACTGGTTGAACTCTATAAAGGTGATTCAGTGCTTTCCCCCTAAAACAATCCCCGCTAGTATAAGATTAAAACAGACAGAGCACAATTTAAGGCTTTTCAACTGACGCCATGCGATTGTGTTGCCTGTAACTTCAGCAGCATTCACTTTGTGGTATGATTTTTTTCTTGCTGGTTTTCCATATGTTTTATTCTTCTCATGCCATTTCCCTTCACGATTAAAGAAAATCAATTAGGAGAAGTAAGAAAAGAACATTCTTTTGCAGGCTATATTTCTGGATCCAGCTGCTAATTTGCAGCCTCAAGAGCTAATCCAGGAAGTAATCCTGCTGGTCTTCCCAAATCAGAAATGTAACGGAAAAAAGGTAATCCATGTCATTTTTAAATTGCATTTATTTTTTGGTTCCACTCATTAAAGTGATTGCATTTTGAACATTTGTATTAAATGCTCAAATGCAGGTTTGTAAAATGCTCTTAAAGGGCCAGTTCACCCAAATTATAAAAGAAAACGCAGATAGTTCTGCTTTTATTTGTCCTCTGTCAGAGTTTTCTGCCTTTACCCCAATATAGTGGTGGTCATTATAAACCAGTGTGTGGTCCTCACTCTATTAAAAATTATACTTTATAGTGCTCAGAGCGATCAGCAGCTCAAGTCATCTTTAATCAGTTACAGAAGTTGTAATATCTCTTTTACTCAGCAGCTGACAAGAGCAGCATGCACTTCCCACACATTTTGCATGTTTTAAGACAATCAGCCGCCTACGAGTAACAAGTAAGATTGCATCGTACAGCCTGTCTGTCAGTCTGAGGTACGGGTACTGATGCAAAGTAGGGAGCGCTCCAACGTAACCCCAATGTGTCAGCCTGTGCTGATGAGGCATCTGGTTGACGAATCGCGGGTGATATCAATCAGCACGGCAGATCAGACAGAGTGAGAGCGGAATGCAGAGGAGCCATGCTAACATATTAAACAGAGCAAGTACTGAGAGAGAAATTTCTCAAGTGAGGATGGAGGAGGGGGGGGGGGGAGCGGTGTTTCCAGTATCTGGGGACGCCGCGCATTGTGAGAAAACGGGCATGCTAATAATGAGGGCCAAATACTTGGAGAACAGCTGCATTGTAAATGAGCTGACTTTGTACACTCGAGCTTGGATGAATCTCTGAAGTGTTGTTTGTTAATCAAAGGAGGTAAAACGGAGAGGAACAACAAAAGGACTAAAAATAGGGACTGGAAAGCTGGGAGCAGCTCACATACAGCTGTGGTAATTGCTATGAAAAGGTTACCATTATTGTTATTCTCACTGTGAAGGCAGGTGGAGGGACTCGGAGATAGCCCTTGACATTAAGCTGATGGATGCGCGGCTACTTCATGTCCCAGGGCGTGATTGCATCTCAGGCTTTGTCTGGAAGACTCGGACGCTTTGAAGTTGAGCAACCTGATCAAAAGGCAAATAATCTGACTAGAGGTCATGGGATTTACCTCATCAATAAAAGGGAAAAGTTAAATTCACAAGCGCTACCCGTCCTTATCCTCTTTATCGATTGAGGGGGGGAGGGCTCCCACTTGTAGTGAACATCACGGAGATCAAGAGGTCATTGGAAAAGCTTTTCAGGAATGTGAGACGAGGACTGTTCAGTTAACCTCAGGGCGTATTGTTCGACCGAAATAACTTTAAATACAATATTTCAATAAACATTTATTTACAAAACGAAAATAATGACAAAGAATACTTCGAAGAGTGGATACAAAACATGTGCTAATATGATAAAATACATTATCGTACACGACGTATATCATCTTATGAATGTGTTAAATAAACTATGCTTAGACTTTTGGGATCTGAACAGGTTGAGTCGAGGAAGCAGGCAGCCAGTGTTGGATTGCTTTACATTATAGGGATTATTGCATTTCAGTTTGTGTTTAAGGCAAGGATGAGACATGAAGAGGACACGGAAACACTTCACGTAACAACGAAGCAAGATGACTTTTCTCTTCATCATCATCAGGGAACACTATTCACATAAACATCAATGACTGAAGAGGAGGAAGACAAAAAAAGAAAGAAAGAAAGAGAATACTCTTAAAGAAATGTAACATTTTTACAAATAGGATTGGTCCATACATTTTTAATTTAAGAACAGCTCTTGAGAGAAGAACAAGTTTTTCAAAGCCATGTGTCTGCGTGTGTGTCTTGCATTATGAAACAGTCCCTGCAGTTGTCAGACGAGTTGTGTCCCATGACGCACCATAACGACTTGGTGTCTTTGGTGCCTGATGTGCTGTACTGGTGCGAGTCCGCAGGGTCGGAGTCCTCTCGCTTTCCTCGTTTCGCCCGGGGTCTCTGCCTGGCCCCGTTTCCCTCCCGTCAGTACGGGTACTGCTTCTGCTTCTTCCCCGCGAAACAGGACAGCCAGGTGCACAGCAGCATGGCAGCCGCCGCCCCGGCCCCTGTGCAGTAATACGCCCAGCCGATCTGGCAGGAACCTGCAAGAGGAAAGCAGAAGATTCAGGGTGATATCTTTCCACCGTTGGGGTTTTTCTCCGTCCGTCAGTCAGCAGGAGATCTCCAAAAACCCATGAATGTATTTCAATGAAATTGGGATGGATAAGCCGTGGGCCAGGGAACAACTGATTCCATTTTTGGTTTCACCAGAGTGTCTGAAGAGTCCTGCACTGCTTACTCTGCACTTTGGGAGTACTGCTCATAAATCTGGCATCACTTCTATAATAAACGGGGAAAACAATCTATAAAAGAGCTCAAGTTTAAAACGGTTTACTCCATAGAGATAAATAAACTGCAGGAGGATATAATACTTGCTTCTTATTCAAGTCATGTACTTGCAATGGTAAAATTGAAGTGATTAGAGACACTTTAGTTTTAACAAGGCTTATTTCTTTTGTTTGTGCTCATAATTGTAATAGCTCCACTTTTGTTGTCCTATGTACACAGAGTGCCCGTCCAAACGTGGTAACAACTGGCACTGGACCATAGTGTATGAATGGATAACTGAATGGTGATCCAGGTGTGGAATTTTCATCTTATACACGTAGACATTAGTGAGCATGTATTTGAAGCTTACCGCCTACTGATAACATAACATGTCGGTTCATTTGAAAGGCTTTGCACTGTCTGCATCATAAGAATACTACAATATCTCTATTATTGCTTTCGATCAAACATTAACATTTTTGATTCAGTTTTATTTATACAGCCCAATATCATGAATCTCAAACGCAGCACATGACACCCTCTGTCCTTTTCGACCCTCGCTTCAGATGAGGAGTTGAGAGCAGAAAAAATGTCGTGAACTGCTTAACATTTTTGTTCAAGCCACAACATTTCCCTTCCTCTTGTGAAAAAGGGTCGGCATTGCTGAAACAAATGCACTGGACATAGTTAAACTTCATTTGCAAACAGACAAGTCTGGTCCGTGCCAAATGCTCTCTCACAGCACAGACTTTTGGAAAGCACACCAGAGGCAGAATGTGCTGAAAGTGAGCCAAAAGCTAGCCCAAATTAAAACATAAAGGGCCTCCTTCTTTAATCCTCAAAAGGGAATTATGTGCACTGTCAAAGAAGGATCTGACCTAAATCTGCCGCTAAATCTGGAAAAATGTTGAGATGACCATCAAGAGTTCTCATTTGAAGAATCAAATTTTGGGGAGAATGTGTGATTGAATGTAGTTGTCTGACTAGCAGCCGGGTGGTAGGAGGAAGAGGCGTCTCATTAACGAATCATATCAGCTGCCTTCTCACTGCGGAATCCTAATTCAGCAGACAAAACTAAAAACACTTATTTCTCAGAGCCCCATTTTTTTTCTGCTGCAAATTTCTCTCACTGTCGGCATTACTGAAAATGAGCTTCCCCTCTTTTGAAAACGTGGCTGTAGTTTATTAACTATTAACATGATGTGGAGTATTCCATTTGAAAACATGTCAGGTCAAAGCAATGACTTGGATCTTCCATGCATTCATTCTGTAGGACATAGGTGTGATCATTTCCCCAACTCGTTCTTCTTCTTCTTCTTCTTCTTCTTCTTCTTCTTCTTCATATATTCAACATGCATGCAATTAATGTGTCCTGGCTGCAGCAACACTCAAAGCATTTGAATTACTAAAGTACCGACTGCTCTCTTCATGATTAATGAACGGAGTCTGCGTTCTGGCCCCACTTTGTGTGAAATCCGCTGCTCTCGCGGCAGAACATGTCAGTCATGTCATGAAACAAGACAGCAGTGAAGCTGAAACAACTGCGTTGCAGCTTAACAACAGGCTGAAGCAAAACGCACCTGTTAACAATAATTCCCATGTACTGAGAAGAGCCTGTTCTTTCAAGGAGGAAATGAAAAGATTACAACCTGATATCCAACATCGTTACTTCTGATGACACGGTCTGAAATTCCAGTAATGAAGATGACACGTTTGGGAATTTAAATCCGACAGAGTTATATGGACACGGGTTGGATTTCAGTGTTGCGTCACATCCATCTGCTCACATATTGGCATCTGTGTGTATCTACAAGTATTTCTTAACTGTTTCTTAAATATTACTAATAATTGTTGTGTTTGCCTTGTTGGTGATGGTTTGGTTTTTGATTTTTTTTTTTTATTGTCATGAAACAAATATTCATTGACTACTGATGCTCTGTCAAGTCATAACTTGTCCTTGAGAAGCATAGAGTAAAATTGACAGTAAAAACTAATGATTGCATTTTCACACTTGTGGGACTTCACGGAAAACGTCCCCCACAAAGTGACCATTTGTCTGTCAGTTACTCACCCCGTGTTACCGTGAATTCTTGTAGAAAACATTGTTTTTCTCGCGTGCCTCCATGGTGAACGGAGAATAAAAAAAACAGAGAAAAAAGGCTTGATGTAATTGAAGCAAATGGGGGCCTCTAAACACAACTCGTACAGTATAATCCAAGTCTCATTTATCCAGTTTTATGCTCACTACTTGATTAATTGATCAAGACTTTTCTCCCTTTTTTGGATTCTCTGTTCACCGTGGAGGCACGTGACAAAAACAACGTTTTATTAAATAATTCAAGGTAACACTGGATGATGAGTAATTGATATACAAATGGTCATTTGGGGGGGGGGGGGGGGGGGTATTCTTTTAACTAATTGTTTTGTAACAAGCTGTACCTATTCGTTCTGCAGTTACCCGGTTCAATGAGCACACAGAAGCTCAGCGTATCTTAATGTGTGAGGCAGAAAGTAGAAGAAAATAGGTCTAACTTCTTTAAAAAAGAAAAAAGATAGAAGTGGCAGAAACTCTGGCATGGCAGACGTTGATGATAATTGAAAGAGAAAGCAAATCTATGCGTACCTGATTACATAAGTAATGGTCTCAACAGCTCTATCAAAAATGTACCTTTGACATTTAATTAAAACATTACAATCACACCAAGTGATTTTTCTCCGTTAAGTAGAGGATCAAACGCTAGTTGATTAGCATCAAATAAAAAAAAGCAGCTGCAGACTGAATAGCCCCTCCACCTGCCTAGCGTCTGATACAGTAGCATATTATTGTCTATCTATGAGATGCCAGCTGAATACAGAGCACCAATCTGGCTCCTGCTTTATTCTCGACACATATTTAGAGCTTTGAAACTCTGCAGAAATCAACAGCAGCTGGAGGTCCTGTTGACTTTTTACCATCCAGAAATAAAAGTCTTCTCAGTTTTCAGCCTTTTCATCCACAAAATCAGTTATCAGTTCTGGGACAGACAAATGTACACAGTCACGGTTGAAGCATCGGGGTGTGTGCTGTAGCTGTGTGTGTGTGTGTGTGTGTGTGTGTGTGTGTGTGGACATCTCACCTAGTTGAAACTGGTCTGAACTGTTGTTGCAGGTCTGCTGCACTTCCTCACTGTCCCATCCCAGTGGATAGAGTGCACAGCCAGATCCTATGAGCAGACCTGAGGATGAGAGAGAGAGAGAGAGAGAGTCAGCGATGAAGGAATCGCACCAACCTGACTGATCAGCGAAATAAGACTGGGGGCTGACAAGACAGTAAGGACAAACTCTCCCCGTCAAGGTGCTCACTCAGCTGCTTCAGGAAGGTCTGCATTGTTGGTTTTTTTGCGAGACCTCGCCTAGGTGGGTTTTCATTATTTGAGAATCTTTTCATTAATGAGGTAGAAAAATGCAAAGCAGTGTGCTGTTTATTAATTAAAAACTGGGGTTTCGTGTGGATCCTCCCTCCTTATTTGGTTTATGTTTTAATTAAAATGATTAAAAAGACAACAAAAACAACGAGCTGCTGCTCTCAAATAGAGTGATGTCTGCGACCTCACCGCCATGATTTTTTTTTATTGTTACCTTATCAACCGTTTCCAGCAGATACTGATGGGGGGGGCAGCAGCAGCTTTGACCCGTTCCAACAGTTTTACCTAACAAGCCTCAAATCCCTTTGTAAAATGACACGGATTGTGATTTCTAACACTCCATCATGTTTTTACCGCGACGAAATAAAGCACTCCTCTGCCAGCAGCTCATAAAAAAACCCCGCTGCAAATGAACAAGGAACATATGCAAATAGCTTGGTAATTTCTCACAGAGGCAACGGCGGGAAAAAAAACAAAAAACAAGCATCTTTTTAGTGCGCAATAATTACTGTAAAACTCTGGAAAATCCTTGAGGGACTGCTTTATGTCAGTGATTAAAGAGACTTATGACTGCGCTTAAAGCTGCACACAGAGACAAGAGTAAAATCTAGTCAAGGCCATTCACATTAAGGATTAATATCCAGAATATTAGCCTACAGCCGGGTCTTGACAAGTTATTCCCCGGTTGCCAAGGCCTGTCTCTTGAAATTACCCTGTAGGTGGCTCTGCCATCACATTAGCTTAATCCCCTCTGATGTGTCGACCCTGCTATCAGTTTTGGGATGTGAGGATGGCAGCAGAGGAAGAGAAGGCAAAAAAAAAAGCTCTGCCTTCCAACCTGATTAGCCCTGCCATCCAGGACTGACTCATTACATATAGGCCAAGATAATAAGCAGGAATTAATCCATATGCTAATGCAGATGGGCCAGACAAAGTGGCCAACATCAGAGGTGGAGTTGTAAAAGTGAAAAGGACATCTGTGTTTTTCCCCAGCCGCGGCCAAAAGGACGGAAAATGTCATCCGCTCGTTTCAGGGGAGAAAATAGTCTGGCTGATTACGGCACCTGTGGTAGAAAATCAATCCGGTGAAACTCTGGCATGTTGATGAGCATGAGGGGATAAAAAAAATTTAAAAAAAGGTTCTGACCAAGTCTGTCGCTGCAGCTCAGGATCAGAGAGGATCCAGGGATTGTCAAACGTAACAACTCTGCCGTTTCTTCTTCAGCCCCTTGAGAAAACTTCAGGGGAGTTTCTGCTTCAGACCCAAAATTGCAACCTTTAAGTAACACGGGGGCATTTGATGTAAATCCCTGTGCAAGCAGCCACCGTGGACCTCTGACGAACATAAAAACACTATTCTACAAGGTGCAGAAATGTGTTTCGGGAGCAAGCGAGCACACACGCACACACACACAGTCTTCAAAAAATATTCTAAGTTATATAATGTTATCGAATGTGTTTTGATTCAAATTTGTAACAGTAAAGACTGTAAAGCATGCGAGCATGATAATGTATTCATGATTAATATTTAACCAACTCAAAAATTCCCTTTCAAGTGTAATGCAGAGAGATACAGCAGCATGCAATCAAATTGAATTTCCTTGCAGCACACGGGAGGGGAAATAATGCAGGGCAGAATGTGGCTTTGTTTCCCAAAGACATTGTTATTCTATTCCGCAAACTGTAATATTTCCATTTGACAAAATCAAGAGAGATTCATGGGGATTCACAGTCATTCTTTGATTAACCCATTTGTTAAAATGATGAAAACCATAAAGAGCTGCTGCTCTGTAGCACCTCAGAGGGAAGAACGGAGGAAGGAAAGACGTCAGTGAATAGTTTCCACATAGATGATGATGATGATGATGACATGGAACGCTGAAAATCTAAGACTATACAGACAGGAGGGAAAATACTGGCACAACAAAGACAAAGGCTCAGTTCCATTGTGCGACCACAACAACAGAATCAAAGGTGTCTGGGTGAACTGCCAGTCTTTTCTGTTGTTTTGGGGTATAGACTCACTGAGCCTGCGACACTGCCGTGGGTGAAATCAATGCGAGCACTCACATGTTACCATGACACTGTGGAGACAGATACTGCGTAACAGTTTCGCTGTGGGAGCAGATAAAAAAAATATAAACACATCGCCAAGGTGTAATTCAATACCGTATCATACGTGGCCCTACATTTCTCTTTTGGCTTTTTCTTTCTTTTTTTTTGTGTGTCACGATAGTTAATTCTGTCAAATCCCATCCTCCACACTCACTATGTGGGTTATTGAGAACCAGAGGTAGGAAGGCTGGTGACTGGGATGTGGGACACAGATTACCAAGAATGGAAAATGTTCTTTCACACACATAATGTTTATGAGGCAAGCTGCTCGAGAGAAGTGTGGACCGGTGAGAGGCAGCTATACCTCGGGCTCTGATTCTCCATGCGTGCTGTTGGAGACGGATACTTCCCGGCCTCCTCATTTCCTGAGCTGACACAGATGCATCCTGATCTGCACAAACAATCAGTTGGGGATTTTTGTCATTTAGCGCGTGGTTGTCAGCTACGGCAGTGCTTCTCAACCTTTTCGGCTCGTGACCTCTTAGACCAAGGCCTTCTCCTGACCTCCCTTCACAGTGTGAAGACACTTGTTTCATGTAATGTGTTTTTGTTTCCCCCCCCCAAAATGTATTGACCTAAATCTGGTGTCCTGACTTGAAAACCACTGCTAGCAGACATGCTACAATCACAAGCACTAAACCACATGCTAGACTTCATAAGATAAGAAAAAAATGATCCCCTTGAGGAAAATTTTTTTCACTGTAGCCGAATATAGAGAAGAGCAAAAACACAAGTTAAATGAGAACACTGCAATTGGAAATTGACAAATAAAACTCTTGGATGTTATGTAAAAATGGAAAACAGTGAAGTGCAAATGGCCAAAATGAAAACAGCCATATTGGCTTCCACAAATGTGTTTTTACGAATTTCTTCGCTTTACCCAAACCTCGTAGAGGTTCTCTCTTCTCCTGCAGACAACATGATCAACTTCAACGAGCGGCTCCACTTTTCTGTGAGCAGGCGGCCGCCTCGTGATGAAATCATTGCAGAACTCCACTTACGCTGCCATGAGGATTGTAGTGAAACAAGTCACAACAAGGCTGTTACTGCAGGGCAGTAATGCAGCGACTACATCACACTGTGGAACAGACGGACAGAAAAGAGCAAAATCTGCCGTCACCTGCATCCGCGGCTGCCCCGTGCGCCTTCCACGGATGTTGTTAAGAATCAAAACAACGGGTCAAACACAAAGATGCCCCCCGGTCTTTCTGGGAGATCGGCAGAGGTTAAAGTGCCGCTCTATCAACACGGGCCAGGGAGGTTTGTTTGTTTACTTTGATGCTTTCTGCCCACAGCCGCTGTTTGTGAAACCTTTTTCCTGGAGTCTTGTTTCAGTTGCTATGGCAGCCAGCTGATGCTGATGGTCTTCTCTGACAGAGGAGGTGAGCAGGATGAGGGTCAGAGAGCGCGTGCAGAACCTAAGAGGCCTGACAACTTATTCACATATTGAGTTTTATCACGACGACTATCTCAGGCTTAATAGCTCCTCTGAAGGGTTATTCTATGAACTGGGATATAGTTCAGATGAATGGACTCAACCAAATACAATCAGTCCCACATATCATGTTTTCAATCCATAGAATCTGCTCCCACACAGTGCACTTTCTTCTGCGCACCGTTGCCTCGTATTTCATCATCGTAGTTGAGCTCACTTTTGAAATGGCTTTAAAAAGCCCACAGAGTAATGCTTTGTTCCATCGGAGCTGCTCCATTGTTCCCCCGTCCATTTCTTCTGTCGACGCTTTTTACTTGAATGAAAAACTGCCCCCTTTTCATATCCCCCACATTCTCTGATTTAGGGAGTGCTGATGCCCTTTGTCAAGCTTTCCTGCTCTCTGTCAAGAAGCAAGGCATTTTCTTCACCCTCCCCTCCTGCCTCGAGACAATAACATTCAAGGTTATCATTCAGAAGGCCAAAGAGGACGGGGAGAAAGGGCCGCTGCCGCTAAGCTGGAGAGAATTTTGGTGGCCGGGGGAATTTGAGCGGGGATGTGCCTGAATGGGCCGGCTTCATGTAAGACATTCCCTTTTGGTTATTGGACGATCAGCTGACAGAGAGACCCACACCCGGGAAGGCGGTTTTACAGAAACGTGTTAATATCACAAGGAAAAGGTTGAATACTAAATGGCTAGTTTGAGTTATGAACCTACATTTTTTCAGTGCTCAGTTTTAATTATTATACACAGGTATACCAGTTGCTCTTCTGTGGTATTTCTGACAAAGTAGCTGCTCAAGCAGTGTTTGCTGTCGTATTAAACCCCACTTGCTAATACCATGGTTACCCTGGGTGTCGATTTGGATTACAAATCCCCCCAAAAAAGACATTTTGTGCAATTATCACATGTTATATGGTTCCTCGCATGTAATTGATGGATAAATATGATGTATTTAATATGACATTGTAAACATGTTTATGTTATTCTGAGATTTAATTAGAGGAAGCGACAGGTTCTGAGTCCCACGGTGTCACTTCAGCCCAAACAGCCCATGTGACTGATCTGTCAACAGCGCCATCCCTGCATGTCGAGGCATGTTTTTTTTTTTGTTCTCCCTTCACTTGAAACACAAGGCACACATCAGCATGTACCGCTCACATTCCTGCTTGTCTTGCCATGTGTTGCTGCTCTCTGTCATTCAAGTCGGATCACTGCAGTCGTTTTTCAAACCGGCTTACTCCTGTGTGAGCACTTTTCGC